AAAGATCTAGCTCTTCAGCAATCACAACACAAATGTTCTAAGGACCCTTTTGCCTGACGGATGTCAGGGCTCATGTAGGGAAACATGAAACAGTTGTCTGCGCGGGAGATACCACATCTTTGCGATGGGAGTTTTGTTTATCTTTACTAAGAAGGTCAAAAGTCAGAAGCGTCAACTTCACTCTTCGAATTGTGTTTTCCTTTTAAAGCCTCTCACAAGTTGCGGAATAACTCCCAGATGAGCATGCATTTGTAATCCTTTCAGGTCTATGAGTGGGAAAGTGAAGGACTTTGTTGCTTTACGGTAACTCAGGAAACCAATGGCTTTCTGAGAACTATCTCATCCCTGGCTGCATCGTTTGTTGTTGTTGTTAGTTTTTTTAATATGTGTCTTATACTTAAAAAAAAGTGATTGTATCAAATTAAAATTATATGGAAAATAGAACATCATACTGAAATGAGGTTAAAGAAAAGACTGTTTTTGTCATGTTATCATACTAACCCCTAACATACTACATGTTCCCATTTTACAACCTAAAGGTAATCAAGAGCTAACATCAGCAGTGAGAAGCTTTTTTCGTTTTTGTCATTTTCTAATCACAAATTTGTAATTCACTTCACTTGAATTTTATTTTTTAAGTCTGAAAAGTGTGTAATAATTTTGTACTCAGCCTCCCTTTTTCTGATATTCCTAAATACAATTTATTGGAGCCCATTTCTCTAAAAAATAAATAAAAAAAATACAATTCCCTGTAGTGATGTGGTGACGAATACATATGCATGCCACACTGGTTCAAAGATGAAATTGCAATAATTATCATTTCCAGTTACAGTAGAAAGCAAAAGTATTCATCCCCCTTGGACTTTTTTTTATTTCTTTTGCCTTACAACCTTAAATTAAAATGGTTTCTTGTGAAAAAAACAACAAAAATAAATGTAGTTTGTAGATCAACCTTCTGCACCATTTACAGCTGCAATTTTATGAGCTTGCTACATCTTGGCACAAGGATTTTTGCCCTTTCCTTAATGCAAAACTGCTGCATCACATTATTGGTAGAGGCTTCTCATCATTGTCCAGCTGGGATGTCAATCACTATTCAAGTTTTACATCTAAGGCAGAAAAACACTGGTTTTACTAAATAACCTTCCTCAATTTGGCATTGTCATCTTCCCATTTAATTGGATGAGTTTCTCAATCACTGCTCCTAGTAGAAACTACCCACAGCATGATGTTGCCACCACCACATTTCAATGTGGTGATGGTGTTCTAGAGGTTCTGGGATATGTTTGGTTTATTGCAGACATCCTTCCTTCCTTATTGGCCAGAAATTCACATTGTTGTCTCATCTGACCAGATCATGGGGAACATTCACATGCCTTTCAGGAAACTCTATATGCACCTTCTTCTTTTAAACACTAACAAAGCCTTTTTTTCTTATAACTCTTCAATAAAGCCCAGCTCTATATAATGTACAGTATATCTTATTGTAGTCCTATGGACACAGCTTCCAGTCTCTATTGTTAAACTCTGCAACTAATTTGAGCTTACCTTTGGTTTTTATGCCTTCTTTGTGATTAATGCCATTCTTGCCCTTGGTGGGCAGATCTCATAGCAAATTCATTGAGGCACCATGTGCTTTCCATTTGAAGATGATTGATGGTGTTCTGGGGGAACATTAAAGATTATATATTTCTTTATAACTAACCCTGACTTGTATTTCTCAATAGCTTTATCCCTGACTTGTTTGGAGAGTTCCTTGGTCTTATTGGTGGGATCCCTATGCTTGGTGTTGTTTCAGCCTCTGGTAGACTTCATTTCACTTAGTGTGTGAAGTCTTAACCAGGACCTTTTATGATCTCCACAGTAAAAGGGGTGGATATAAATTGACTTGACAATTTTCCCCATTTTATTTTTTTCAAGTTAAAGCTCTTTTGTGCAGATTAAAACACATATATCGAGATTTAAAAACATTTTACTAAAGGCTGGAATGGAACAAAATAGGTAAAAAGCCAAGGGGGGGAATTATTTTGCAATAAAATTTACATTTATGATATTGTTTCAGATGTCCTAATGGGTGCACCAAGATGATACCAGAAAAAAAATATTCTGGTTTAATTCGGAGTTAAATCCTTTCATCAATTGGTTGATGATATCTAATTATCACTTGGAATGTTCAAATAGGTTAAAATACACATAGATGGTTAAATACCTTAGTGTTCTAAACCTCATTTCAAAATAAATTATTTTTTTAATAGAGTTTCCTTAGCTTTAAAATATGAACAGCATTCATTCTGGAAAATAAATCAAGAAACTCTAATTAGACGAGCTTGAAAGTGACTGACCTAATCTATCTGCAGGAGTGCAAATGGCCCTTGCAGACCCCTATAGCATCAAAGACTCCCTGTGGTCTTTGTCAGTGGGTAGCAGAAAACAGTGTCTTCACTCTCTCTTGTGAATAAACTAATAAAAACACTCAGACTTCTGAACACATACCATTTGAACTCCTGAAGAGATAACATAACATCAAAAGACGGATGATAGTAGACCTTTGCAATGCGTTAAATTAGCTCTGAAGGCACTGGAAATATCGTTTGTTGTTAGGTAAAAAATGTAAAGGTGAACTAGAATACAGATTGTTTTTCTGAGGGAATAATCTGTAGCTTTTAGTAAGTAATATGCTTTTTTTGTTTATTTTTATGAACAAATAGACTAATTTGTTTGAAGCAGCAGGTAAAGGAGGGTCACATAAGGATACCAAGGCCACTGAATATTACTCTTTATAATGCGGAAAAAGAAATCCCCTCATGAGAATCTAAAGCTTTCCAACTAATGAACATATGGACTGCTTGATATTGGAGTGCATGACCTATCCTAATCTAAACAAGGTCTATGGAGAGAATTAAGATTGAATGAATGCTGTGGATAGGTGAATTATTACCTCTTTTTGAGAGATGTGACAAGCTTACATTAAAATCATAATTTTGAAAATCAACTAACTGAAAATCACACAAATGTGCAGCGTGCATCCTTGTATTTGAAGCAATAGGGCTTTGCAAATGCTTGGCTTTGTTCATACTGATATTTAGTCATGGATAGTTCTGCAAACATCTGCACATTCCATGGATGCGAATTCATAATGATAAATGACAACCCACAACAGCAAAAAGAGCTTCTGCTGAGAAATGAGTTGTCTATGGACAGAAACATTTTCCATTAAACTGAGCGTTTTATGTTATAAGTTATAAATGTTTATCACTTAGATGAAATCATACCCCTTTGTTGGCACAGAGGTCACTTCGGTTCACAGATCACATCTCTACACTCTTCTGGCTTCTAAGTACCCAAGATTTTTCCTCCTTCCAGTCTAATGTAAGAATTGATTGTTAGTTCAAAATGATGTTGTCCCGTGGTATCAAATGAGTGCTTCCACACATGATATAGACAGGATGTGGAAGTTAAAACCAAGCAGCAACTGTGAAAAAGGAAATTACTTGTTGGTCACAGAATTCAGAAAAAAAATTGTATCTTTTACAGAAAACTCTCTTGATGTTATGCAGTGGCGTCCAAATGATGACACATTTTCAAAGAAAAACAACTAAGTGAACTAAAACACATCTTATAACCACTTGATGCAACCAAGGATTGCAGACCACCATCTCTGAAAATGCTATTGGAAGAAGATGACCTTTGGCAGCAGAGGACCACACCAGGTGCCACTCCTGTCAGTTAAGAACAGGAAACACCATGCCACCAATTCATTAAACTTAGAAAATAAAAAAATGAGAAAAAAAAAATGTATTAATTATACACTTTTTGATGGTGTAGGTGTATATCTTGTTGGCACACTCTTCACCTCTCACACCACAGCCTACATTAGAAATGGTTCCATACAAGTTATAGCATGCATTAAATATTTATGTATTCAATATAACATGTATTAAATATTTTTGTCACTGATTTAACTTTTTGTTAAGGCGGATCTGGAAGATAAAGGAGCAAACCCAGCACAACTACAATGTAATTAATAAAGTTGTTTTTTTTTTGTTTTTTTTTTACATAATAATGAAGTCATAACATCTAAAAATATTTTACTAACCTTTTTATGAAACATTTGAATAAGCTATTGTATAACTCTTCTGAAGTCTTTTTTTTTTTTTAAGAAACAGACTTAGGCAGTAAATCAGACTTAAATATTAGAACTGCCTGGCCTGCTTTATCTGTGAGGTCATACATCTTGAGTTCTTTATCTTGACTTCAAAGAAATGCCAGTCATTTTTAACTGTAATTCCAACTGACTTTAAATGAAAAATAAATTATTAAAATGGCCGAATGTCACTGCTCTGTGGGGCGTTCCAGCTACTACAAGTGGTTAACAGCATTTAAAAGAAGAGGGGGGGGCTACACCCCCTACACCACAAGAAATGCGTCTTTGATATGGTCTGGTATGGTTATTGTGTTTTTATAACATTTCAAACACATCACTAAGGGTTTCCTCCACTGGACAACACATCTTTTACAGCATATATTTCAACTGTTGGATAAACATGTTTTACATCTAGCAGAGGAGGAAACGTTTAAAACAAATTCCTATCTAAAAAAAAAAAAAAAAAGTCAACATTTTATAATCCCAGAGCTTATTTTTTCTTTCCCTCCTTCCGTTAACTCCCCAATTGAAGCGCTGAACAGTAATTCTCCCACAGGTTGGAGAAAAGCGCCTCTCTAAACCTGGCGCACCATATCCACTGCTGAAATAACGGTGCGCCCTGCGGGATCAGGCACCTAGCGCACCCTCCAGAGCTTTTATGAGAGCCGCACTCTGCCTCGCTGAGTCTACGTGGCAGGTATGCTTTGATTATGTACAGATGCCCACATTATGCAAGCATGCGTGTGAAAGAAGATGATATAGCTCCAAGTATTTTTTTTTCTCTATTAACTTTTCTAAATGCATCAAATTTCAATAGATTTGATTAAAAAAATAAATGAAGAAAATCAATACTTACTGCTTGATGATGTTCAAAGAGAGAAGCGCTGATTAAGATCCTGAATGTTGAGTCAAGTTGGATTGGTAAACCCACTCTGCATATGCGCTACTCTCCGGTCAAAGGCGCCGCAAGTATGACTCCAAATCCAATAGAGAGACAGATAGACCTTTCATTTTAAGTCCAAATACTAACACAGCGCCCACAGTTATGCGTTCTATCAGTGCTTTACTGTTTTTTTATTGTTTGTCGTTGGTTTTCTCGATTCCCCACACTAGTTTCGGATTTTTTCCCCCCAAATGCAGACTGCTTGATGCTCTCCGCTCCGGCTCCGTGCCTCTCTGCGCTGGCGCGTCTCTCTCCTTGCCTCACACGCATAAGCACTGACACACTGTGCACGAGACGGGACCTTTGTCTACAAGTGACGTCACTAACTCACGGCCATGTAGTGCGCAGAAAAGATGCCAGGGCTGCATTTTTTTTGCACAGCTTTGTTTTATATAAACTAGGCGCGCCTGTTTGCCTGTTTTAGATTAACAAAATAGAGAATGAGTTTTAATGAAGTTAATTCAGGTGAAGATGTATACAACAAGTCTATGGAAGCAAGGGCGTAGGTTTGATTTTAACTTTGGTAGGGACACGATTGGTCGGGTGTCATTGGTGCTATGCAATATGCACGCCCTTTTTTATGCTCGATGTGAGCATCCGTACTGATAAGAGGAATTCAATGTTAAAAGAGAAAAGCATAATTTTGCTACATTAATAAAAATTAAATAAAAAAAACACTACACTCATTAGATGCTGTTTATCAATGTTTGAAGCATTAATTGATTATTTCAATAATCGTCAACTAATTTAATAATTGATTCATCATTAACTGGAGTATAAAGACTCTAAAACATAATATAAATGTAAAATGTGTCTTTTTCCAACAGAGCAACCCACTTAGATCAGTAATTATACCAAAATTGTAAAACTACAATACATATATATAATCAAAATTCTCCATCCAGAACTCCTCATGTGGAAATATTTTAGTTTCACCTGGTTTATTTAGACATCACCTGAAGCACTGAAGGGCCAGCTGCTTCACCTACAAGCTGCCCTGCACCATTATTACTGGATATCTGTGTTTCCTATAATCATATAATGTATAAGTGCATTTTTAATAGTAAAGGATTAAATGTAACACAACCTTTTATCATTGTCCTATATTGCTACTGTCTGACTGTATAAATAGCTCCTTATGTATATTTTCTTTTTAGTGGCATCATCTACAAACACAACACTGAGAATGAGCCTAAGTTTATTAAAATATAAAATCACTTTTAACAATTATAAAAGACAATATAACACTATCTTATCTGTAATTTAATAATATCCAAAATAAACAGTCAGATTCCAGCATTTTTACCAGACATTAATGTTTGTACTAATTTACTTATAGACTGTGTGGAAATCTATGTAAGATAAAATCAATGTTAATATTCTTCATCTGTTTGTTCTTCTCTTTATCCTATTTCTAGAAGTATAAATAGTCAATTAAATTATTATTATTATTTGGAACCCTAATTATGCTTTTTAAACGATAAACAGCAGATGTTTAGCCGCCATTTCTTGTTGTTTTCCTCTATAAGAGAAATAACACCTGCTAATAATTATACCTGAACTTCCTCAGAGTCATCAAAAAATGAAACCAGTAACAGCAACTAAATATTGGTAAAAAGGAAACCCTCACATTTTCTTTTTTAGGTGGCTGTGGCTAAGAATCAGAAATGTTGATGGCTTACAGCCTTTATTTGCCCATTTTGTGTCTTCAGAACTCCTGGCTGACTCAGAATATTTCGTTTTATAAAAGAAAAAAAAAGGTTTTTGTTTTTTAGTGTACATGATATTAATTTTTTTATTGGGACTAGTTTCATAGTCTAATATTAATTGTAGTAACCGCTGCATTCTAGTGTGAATAAATTTTCAATGTTGTGCTCCAAGCACAGCGGACTAGAAAACAGCCAATCAGAAAGAGAGAAGGCGGGACCTAAGGCAGAACAGCCAATGAGAGTGGAGTTAAACAGCGCAGCACAGTTCAATGCGCTGCTAGGTGAAAGGGACAGGAGAGACCAGGCAGAGGAGCTGCGAGAGGAAAAGAGCCACTGCTGTAAATTATAAACATGTTGCTCACATCCAATTATTGGTCGGGACAATTAGGACGGTTCAAAACTTTGGTAGGGACATGTCCCTATGGTCCCTATGCAAACCTACGCCCATGTATGGAAGAGTATTGGGGACACTGAAAGAATGAAAAAAAAATTAACTGATTTTAAAAGTTTATTTCAGTATAATATGAGAAAAAAGTCAAAATTCAAACTTTAATGTCAGAATTCTGACTTTTTTTCTCACAGTTCTGACTATTTCTCGAGATTCTAATTTTAATCTCAGAATTCTGACTTTTTTTTTTCCACAATTCGGACTTTAATCTCAGAATTCTGACTTTTTTCTCCCAATTCTGACTTTAATCTCAGAATTCTAACTTTTTTTCTCAAAATTTTCACTTTAATCTCAGAATTCTGACTTTCATCTCAAAATTTTGGATCTTAATGTAGATGGGCACCATGAAGGAAGAGATATGGGAGCTCTCAGCTTCACTGACAAAGATTTGAGTAGTTTGGGAGGGCCAGTAACACACTGGTGAAAAATGACGGAATTAGGTGACTTTTTACGTGCCTGCGGGGTACCTGGTGATGCTATTTAATTAATGAAAGAGCAGAAGGTGATTAAAACAAGATAGCTAATTTAGTCTCTAAAACAGACATGACTATGGCTTGATGTTAACATGTTTGTTAGCTGCCAGAATTCTGAGATTAAAGTCAGAATTCTGAGAAAAAAGTGAGAATTCTGTGATTAAAGAAAGATTTCTGACTTTTTTTCTCAAATTATACAGAAATAAAATTCAAAAATCAGTTAACTTTTTTTTATTTTTTCAGTGGCCCTAATGCTCTTCCGTACTTTAAGAGTTACCAAAGAGATGTGAGAGTTGTTCCCTTCTCCCCACCTAATTGGAAACACATTTTTTTTTTGCAAGTTGAAAAGAAAACAAGACAGGAAGGGAGCTAGAAGGGTGGAGTGAGAAGCAGATGAAAAGCGACCATGACGCAGAGAAATTCAACGACATAAAGTACTCAGGCTTTCTCATTATAATAAAAACAAGTGTTTTCCTGTATAAAGGTTCTGCTGTCCATGGAGGTAAAATTTTCACACACGGAGACAGTCTCAGGGAGTGTTTGGTTGGAACAGCTAGGTCTGCAAAATTCACACCATCTGTGAACATTTAGTAAGGTGTTAGAACAAAACCAACCCTCGGCTTTAGCATGAAATGGAGCATCAGAGGCATTTCACACTGACAAGAAAAAAAAGAATCTGCATCATATAAAATATGTTTTTACTATCATACCAAAGTAAAAAGTGGCACCAGCCTATGATGGACAGTTATAGGAAAACTGGCTAAGAAGACCTATAATGCTATCATGGGAGAAAAAACTAAATATTGTTATTTAACAACCTTTAGTTGCAGGAGCAGCCTTTGAATGACTACCAATCTGCTTAAGATTACTGTATTTACAACATTTTTTGGAAAACTATTTTTTGTTGATTATTTAATAGTTTTTATGTTATTTGTTGAATGCAGTTTCAGGTCCTGATACAACTGTACCATGGCCGCATCTTGAACATTTTCCTCTTCACCTTTCCTGTTATTATGTAGGTTTTGTCAGTGCAAACCTGGTATGCCAATATGCTCTTTGACAAATGTGACAGAAAGGTACCCAGATCCCACTGCTGCAAACACATCACAAGGTACCATTCACCATCCACAGAGCATAACAGCTTTGTTGATTTGGTTGAAGTCTTTTAAGCCTTGAACTAAAGTCTACAGTTTAGAGTTAGATAGAAATAAATTGTTAGAAAATCAACCAAAGAAAACAGAGATTAATTTCTCAAGGTCCAATAGGACCTTACCTTATCAATATGTAATTTTGTTTTCCCTCAAGTAATACACCTAACAGTATTTCGATCTGAAAAACTCACACTGAAAGAAAAAGACAATTAGAAGAATTTTGTTGACACAGTTAGTTTAGTCTTTGGCGCCCAGACCTCGGCAGGAAACATTATTGATGAATTTTGTTTTGATATGTATAAACAGGAGTAAAGAACAGGGATGTTTTCCCCCAAGAATTACACTGTGATGGGTACGAAAGAAGAAGAGGCAGTATGGAAAAGTCAGATGAAGTTTTAGCTATGATGGTGGAGAAGGGGATGGAGGTGGGTTGAATTGGGGTCATCTCAATCAAAGTCAGATAGCGCAACCACTACCTTCGCTTTGGCTGGGTAGCAGACTGAGTTGTGGATTTAGAGCCATTTTAAAATGAACTCTTGATGCTGACTGGGCTTCTTGGAGGTATGGTTCAAAGCTGATTGGCTTCTGTCGGAGGCGGATAAAGGTAAGTACTTCCGCTTAGGCTTCATTTAACAAAATATTGTAAATATTATGCAATCAGGATTTAAATTTGATTAAAAAAAAGATAGGATTTTTTTTTTTCCAGTATAGGCAAATCATAAAACATAAACCCAAGAGAGTGACATTGCTCCTGATTTAAGGCTCTTTTACTCAGCTAGTTGCTTTCAGTGGTCTCGGCAACTTAGGAAAAAGAAAACCAAAATGTCATTTGGAACTGTAGAACTATGAAGGAAAGTACTTGATTTTGGCTCTGACTTCAACAATGTCTCTATAAACTGGTGCAAAATTTGTGGCTATTGTCTGCCCTTTTTAACATTAAAAAGTATAATCTCCAATACCTGTTATGACTCCTGCTTTATTAAGTTTGGGATAATTTCATATAATGAGTTACTCAGCTGTATTTTATTAACAGCACCTGGATGGTTTTTTTTCTATTATAATTCCAAGATAGAAAAAGCAAGACTGGTTTCGATTGACTTTATTGAAAACCATAAGTGCTAGATGTGTGCGATTTCATTACATGTTTAGTGAAGTATTGGGACACAGATATCCCTCCACTGGACAAAAATACTATCAATAGAAGCTAAGTATCTCAACCTGACCAAACACCCAGTCTGAACTCAGTTTGTGGTATTCAGCTTCTCTTGTTTTTCCTTTGTGGTTTGGCTCAAAAGCTGCAGAACTCTACATAATAAAACTGACAAAATACAGAGTGGAAAATGGCACAAATTACAATACCTTTCTTGAAATATGAATCCTAAAAATAGGATTATGTACTGCGTAAAGTCACTAGTGTAGTGAAGTGCAGCTAATATTTGAAGAGGAATGACAGCAACCACAAAGAAGCAAGTGATGGACGGAGTTGAGGG